AGAAAATAAAAACATGATAATCTTAGTTTGGAATATAGAAACGTTTTTAGTCATATTTAGAGTAATTTCTCATATATTATTATACTCCGTAATTTTTTACTTTAAGTATAAATTACTGTTTGTCTTGAAAATAAGGCCAAAATAGTATATCGCCCCTAGGCCCAAAACTAGACAGGACCGGCCCTGATCATACTGGAACACAAGATGGAACTGTTCTATGATTGTTAAGTATCAATACACTGATTGATGACTAACTATGTAGGGGAACACCAGATAGAACTAAGCTTAGTTCTGTTCTCATAGATGACTTGCAAGACTGGATAAATATGTGCTTGCTTGATAATATTATTTTGTTAAGGTTGATTTATCCCTTACGTATCATGATATCTAGTGAAATAGTCTTGCATGATTTGATTACACGTAACTCAACTTGAATATCCTTCCATGCATGCATGACTTACACTTACTTGAAAAGGAATCGGGTCTATAAAAGGAATATGTATCTTGTCATCTTGTGACCGTAGCACCTTTACTTATGCTAAAATAATATCTTATCATTTTTGTACAGGTTGACCGTAGCACTAGGTAATACATATAAATTAAATATTCTGGAATATTCTTGTGTGCTAATATTGCTAGTGTACTAATGAATATCTTGGTTTAATAATGTGAGTGACCGTAAGAGCATCACCAATGCACTTTTTTTGACATCATCAAAATTTTGCCAAATGTCAATTATATAAAATAATGTCTATCCACGTAAACTACACATTCAAAGAAATAAATAAAGGTTCTCCAATGCATAGAGTTATACGGAACATAAAAAGTATAAACATGGGCAGTTATTAATTCCCACTAGGCATTTATCAACCTTTTTCATTAACCGTAGGCTATTATATCGGGATTTTAAGCTTTGTGATGCGTATTGATATCCATTTTGGCCAAGTCATGCTGTTAAACATGCTTTCGGAATTCTCACAGAAGGGTCGAAAGTGTTGCTTCCATATCAGCATGAAAGAACTCATAAAAGAATCTATTGGAGACAAATTACTATCACTCTTTTGAAAATTGATTACGTGTAAAATTTTTATCATGTCAAAAGAGGACCATTGGAGATGCTCTAAGAGCATCTCCAACGCTATAATGTACACGGTGCACACGTGGCATGAGAGATGACCACATAAATATTAATAATTAAATTCTTTCTCTCCTTATTTAAATGATTTTCTACAGTTTTGGTTAATTTTTCTCCACAATGTCAAGGAGACCGTCTAAATGTTGACATTGTTGTTGACATTGCAGGGAAAAACTTACCAAAATTGTATAAAATCATTCAAATAAGGAGAGAGATAATTTATTTGCTAATATTTGTGTGACTATCACTCATGTCACATGTGCACCGTGCACATTGTAGCATTGGGGATGCTCTAATTTTGAATATATATCATCATGGTGCGTGATTTATCTTACTTCCTTCTATATGGTTGCATAATATGTTGTGAATCTTAAATTAATTACCTTATGCATCGAGTTCGAATAAAGAAGGATCAAAATAGATGGAAGGTTTTTCAAATGATATCAAGGCAAGTCTCATGATTGGTTACTCAGCTATCCAAGGAAGGAATGCATCAATAGACTTCTCCAATTGGCCTATTTATAGAGACCAAGATCATGAAAGATCTGTGCTTGACCAAGCTATTGTTGAGAGATGTTGGAAATTTATTGAGAAATAGCGATCAAGTGTTCAACATTATCTTTGGAACATTATCTTAATAAATATTTATTATTAAAGATAATGTTAAAGAATAATATATATTTAATTGTGATTATTGTTATTCAAATTGTGTTATTTCATTTTACTTATTTAAATAATAATAATAATAATAATAACAATGAGTATAATAAATGGTTTATGCGTGCCAATTGTGTAGTCCATTTTTTTAAAATGAAAATAAAATCATTTTAATTCGTACAGCCAATTAAAATCCGAAAACTGCATGCAACATGCAACGTACAGCCAATTAATTACTATTCCGTAAAATTAAAAGGTGTGTACGTGGCTGGTCTTCAAGCTAAGATTAAAGGATGTAACTTTTTAAATGGACGCACCCATGCGATGTACAATTGTACATTGCGTTTCTAATTACTTGGTAGCTTTGCAATGTGTCGCTTGATACAAGTCACTTTATAGAATTTTGTTCAGTGTTATTTTATCAGTAGCTAAAATACACTATACACCTTTTTTTATTCCAAAAGTTCTATCTTGTAACCCTGTTACGGTGATAAGGGTAGATAGTGAACTTTTAGGAAAACGTATTTTATACGTGACTAGAAGTAATATCCGGTCTAGACATATTTCTACACCCTTATATTTTACGGTTTTTATCCTCCAGCTCTAACACTACATAGAATTCCTTTTCCCTTCTTATATTGTAATTGGGTTCTGAGGAATTGGCTTGAGTGTAGCCACCTCGGGTTGGTTGTGTGAGTGAGAGCTTTGTTGTAAAGCCGACAGGCTCTCTACCCACAAGGTAGATATGCATAACTCTTCCTATATAGAGAGGATAAAGTTGGGGTGCCTCAAGGGTAGACTAAGAGAGTTTCTCTTGTAATCATTCAAAGACTTTTTAGTGAAGTTGTTAAAATTCCTCCGAGAGAGGTCGAGGTTTTTTAATCCCTTTGAGCGAAGGGATTTATCCTCGTTAAATCCTTGATTCCTTATGCACTTCCCTATTTTGGTATACTAGTTATTACTTCCTCTATTCCATAAAGTTCTTCCCGATTTGATTTAGATCAGAGTTTTAGAAATTGAGAATAAAGTAAATATGTATGACTCGCATTATATAAGAAAAATGTAAATGAATGTTAGTCACATAAAACATTCCAATGAGAAAAATGATTTTTTTTGGAATATCTCAAAAAGATAAGTGGGAAGGCTCTTATGGATGGAGGCAATATTAAAAAGGAGCAATTCTCTAAAAAAGAGTAGACAAAATTTAAATTACAAAAACATGAACATAAAATTAAAATTCCTAAAATAGAACTAACACTTCCTATCTGCCTTTACGCTTGCTTTAGTAGGATTTTTAATAATAATGCAACCTAAACAAATGTAAAAAAACACCGCCAATTTCCAACACTGCCACTTGCGGTTATCGAAAAAATGTGAACCTGCAAAAAAGACATCTTGATGACAATTTTGAAAGTAAAATCTAGTATTTTCAAAGAGTCAGGACATTCTCATAGAAATGTGTATTTGTACATAGAATGACAATTTTTTCCATTAACCGGATGGCGGTGCTAGAGGTGGAAGATGTGGTGGCAAAGATTTACCTATATTTAATACTACATCCGTTTCGGAAAAAGTACTTCTTTTCCTTTTATGGATGTCACAAAAAGAAATTCTCTTTTTTATAAACAAGATGTCTTTTAACTAAAAAAGTCATAATCATCTTTACTTTTTGCTCACTTTTTGCGCGATTTAACATAAAACAAGATATACATGAAAAGTCACAATCAATCACACATAAATATGTGTAGGTCAAATCGGGAAATTCATTTCGGGACAGAGGGGTGTCTTTCTTGTTGTTTTTTTATCTTTAAAATTTTTATTTTGTTATTTTTTATTTTATTTATCCACGTTTGTAAGATAACTTTACAAATGTTGTTAATTTTTTTTAAACCCTTTTGCAAACCACAGGGTAAGGGCTGGGAAACACCTTACCATTTATTATTAAAGGATGAGAGTGAACGAGAGACACGGTAGAAGGACTAGACCAATGCCTACCAAAGGAAGAAATCTAAAATATTATAAACACCAATGAAGGTTAGGGTATATCTAAATAATAAAATATTATAAACATCAATGAAGGTTAGGATATAACGGGAATGTGAAAAATGTTGGTGTAATGTGAAAAATATTAGTCGTAGAATATCAATAATTCATTGTACGTTCAAATGGATTAACATTTGTATCCCTTTATTTCCGTTAGTTTTAACTAGTCTTTCACCCGTGCGTTGCACGGGATTATGAATTGTGAAATTATTTATAAATCAATTGAGTTTTCCTAGTCAATTAATTAAATTAGAATTTATATTCTTAACTATGTGGAAGTGTACGCAACATCAACTAATTTGTAGATTATATTTTGATATGTATTAGTATAGTAGTCCTACAAAAAATCAACATGTATAAGAAGTGATGAGTTTACTATTGCAATTCTTGCAACTTATCATCTCGGATATAGGGACTTAATAGACTTATCAATCACAAGTTAATAAAGATGAAAATACTAAAACAATCAAAAGAGATTTTTGTAATATAGCCACAATTTATATCCAACATAAATATATTTCATCAAGGTGAGATTTGTACAACTTAAAATTGATCTCATAACTCCTGAAAAAGTTGACGATTCTAGTGATAATCTCATCCTCTCCCGAAGCTGCAAGAAGTGTACGTGAAAAGAAAAACCGATACATTAGTTGAATGAAGTAATTAAAGAGCTATATCAAATTCATAATGATCTCATAGAACTATAGAAGTAAAACTAAAAGAATACAAAAACAATACTGATAAATGATACAAAGTATGTGAAATGAAATATAAGCGTGCTTCAATAAAGATTGTTGATAATAATTGGAAAAAATGAAATTGTTAATTAAGAGTGTTGGGAAATAATATACAAAGCCTTGAAGTACCTATTAATTAATAAACCCTTATTAGATAATTTAATGAAAGAAGAGTTACAATGAAATGAAAAATAATATTACGAATAACATTAGTCAAGAAATTTATTTATAGACTACAGTCCAAGAAACATACCTTATTATGAGAAGCATGATTAATTTAGTCCAAATTTCTAAAAACCTCCTTATAAACAACATTGGTTGTTGAGTTTGTCGAACGGCCATCTTTATCACATATTAGGATCTTCAAACCTTCACGCTTTGTCACTCTAGAGACTCCAACATATAATTGTCCATGTGTAAAAACTGGGTTTTGCAAGAAAATTCCAACTCTAGAAAGCGACTGTCCTTGACTTTTATTAATAGTCATCGCATATGAAACACAAAGTGGGAACTGCCGTCTCTTAAAGTTAAATGGTAGACTCAAATCTGATGGCGTCAATGTCATTCTTGGAATCAAGAATTTTTTCCCTTGATTAAAGCCATTCAAAATTGATGCTTCTATAACATGATCAGCAAGTCTTGTGACCATTAACCTTGTACCATTGCAAAGACCGGATGAGTGATCAATATTTCTCATGAGCATAACAGGAACACCAACCTTTAGCTTCAATTCATGATTGGGAACTCCTGAGCACTTAATTCCATTTAAAAATTCCGGAGTATGTAGCTCACTAAGTAATTGATCATCAGAATCTGACTGACAAATTCCATCAGAACTAAGATAAGTGCGCACACCAGATTGATCTTTCGAAACCATGTAATCATTAATCATTTCAACCATAGAAAGTGTAGGCGCCAGTATTGCCCTTCCATCTAAGTATGCTGCATCTCCAAAATGTGAAGTAAAATCAGGATATATACTATCTACTATAGATGCAACAGGGTCAGTGGAGCTATTTATTAGAAGATCTTCAGGAATTTCAACAATTCCATGTCCTTCATTATCTTCACCAAGTATGCCATCCCCAAGGCTTAAAATCCACTCAGCAAAAGTTTGCAATTCAATGCACGAACGGTCACCAGATTGATCTTGTAATCTCATGTTCTTTGTCAATTTCAAGACCTTATATATATATATAACAGAAGGAAAAAATTTGATAAGATGAAAAGGATTTAAAAAACAAAACAAAACTGTATAAACGACGTGGAACATAAGAGAGATAAAGAAGATTATAAAATAAAATAAAAAAGTAGAGAAAATTGTGTTAATTGCTACGCATATAAATATGCTTAAGGTCATCTTAAACATCATTAATTAATAATTAATGATTAATAATCGTTAACATTTTAAAGTTACTTATGAAGAAAAGTAATGCGTGACATACCTTACAATAATCCCACAGATAAGAGGAATTTATTGTTGCGTGAACAATATCATGTCTAGAACCCTTTGGAATAACAGGTAGTACTTGTCGAAAATCTCCCCCCAGGACCACCGTCTTACCTCCGAAGGGCTGGTTCATGCTCAGCGGATTGGTCGTCCGCATAATGTCTCGCATGGTTCTGTCCAATGCTTCAAAGCAAAACTTATGAGCCAAAGGAGCCTCATCCCATATGATAAGTTTTGCAATTTGTATTAATTCCGCTAATGGACTTCCTTGTCTAATATTGCACATTGAATCTTCAAATACATTCAATGGGATAGCAAATCTAGAGTGTGCAGTTCGCCCTCCTGGTAGTAGAAGAGATGCAATTCCACTTGATGCCACATTCAATACTATATCGCCTCTTGATCTTATTGCAGCAGATAATGTTCTCCAGATGAAGGTCTTCCCAGTCCCCCCATTACCATATAAAAAGAACATTCCACCAGTATCTGAATCAACTGCATGCATAATGGTGTCAAAGACATACTTCTGCTCATCGGTCAACTTACTCATTAAGTTTGAAAGTTCCTCATCCATGGATCTTTTGTCATAACGTAACTCATCATTGATGAGAGAATTTTCTGAGTTAAGAAAAGATACATCTTTGGGATAAGGCATGGTAGGAAAATCTCGGAGGCTCTTTCCTCTACTACGCAAGAGTCTTTCAATCTCAAGTAAAGTAAAATTTCTGATCTCATCATCCGTCAATTGCAAATCTAGCAAATTTGAAACAAAATATAGGTGAAATATGAGGAACAATAATCATAAAGTGATCAGTTCTATAAACTAAAAGTAATTAATTAATAGAATTAATAATAAAAGTTTTCACCTTGGTGATTAAGCCGTCTTCTTCTATTATATAACACATCTTCTGAGAGGTATTCAAAACACTTATCCCATACTTTTTCAGGGCTAGCGAATGAATCTGATATCAATAGGATAACAAATAATATACGCAGTAAATGCGCAGAACCCCAGTGGCTAGCCTCTTTGAATGCACTTATATACTCCTTGTCATCACCTAATAAACCATGTGCATAACATGCATCACGGAATGTCTCATATCGTATACCATTCACAGTAAGAAGATCATCATAACTCGTGGGTCCACGAATAATGCTCAGTAGTGTTCTCAGAAAAAATCTTTCACCTGATCCAGGACGTACAAAATACAATCTTCCAACGGAACTTCCACGTTGTCCTTGCACCCATTCTCTACTTTTGTCCTTCCACACAAACTTGCTAGGAAACTCTGGATAAGTTAATAGTCTAGCTTCTGGATATTTTTTATTAGCCTCCATCCATTTTGTGAATTTACTCTCTTTTATTGTAGAGCGATTTATCACCGCATCAGCAGAGTCAGCATCAGAGTAATACACATTGTGTTCACCTATTTTATTTTTTAACAACAAAGGAGATTTTTATTTAATAAAAGACGGAAAAGTAAATTAAGGAACGGAAACTGAAAACAAATAAAAAGAAGGGAATATTAAAACTAACCAACCTAAGATTAAAAAAAAGAAGAAGATAATGTTCACCTGGTAAATGGAAGCTAAGTCTCTCAACAGGAACATCTTTATAATGTATATTGAATCCAAAAATTCTCCAAGCAGCCTCACATGATGAAACATATCGACAATCATAATACATATTTATTTCATCAACTTCCTTTTTTCCAGTATTATCTGCTGCTTTTGAAAAGGCAACAGTAATACGATCATGGCCCTTGTTGATGTACTTAAATAAGTACTTGATTGACTTAGCCTGATTACACCATTCCACATTGATGTGTGCCCCATATTTCATTAGAAGGTACTTGTTATGCGGTACCACATAACCATTGTGAAGCCCTATGTCATTCTTTGTTACTAACCTTCCATTATTCGGGCGTTTGTACAATGCATAACCATTCTTATCAATTGTAGTAGATTCTGAAAACTTCCTAGGGAATTGCTTTGTACATTGGCGATTTATGGTGCAAGGAGACTTTGGATTTAGATGACCACATGGTCCATGAATCATTAAACCCTTGACAGCTCCGTAATAGTAAGGCTCAACATCTTCATCCGGAATCTCCGCGGATATGTACGCATCAACTTGTTCTGGTTTCGGGTTCCTGACTTTGTTAGTTTTCCACAGTAATATATGAGCATGTGGTAACCCACGCTTTTGAAACTCTATCGTATATATCACTACAAATAAAAGAAAAATTAATTAATAATTTGAAATTACAAAGAATAAAAATTTAAAAATATAAACAGATTAAGTACCTGCTTTAACTTGACCAAACACTTCATTTTGCTTCAAATCTTTTATAAGTTGGTCGAGTTTAGTCTTGAAAACTCTGCATATGATATCAGGACGGTCTTCTGCTCTTAGGCCCCTCTCTTTGACATAACGTAAAATTTCTGGCCATCTAGGATTGCATGTGATAGTAATAAAAAAATCGGGATACCCGGCCCATCTACATATTGCCATAGCGTCTTGGTAGTTCTGCATAGTATTGCGTGCACCTCCGATGAAAGACTCGGGAAGAACTACACGTTTCCCTAGTTTTGAAAGATCAGTTTCACCACGTGTTACTGCATCCGCAAATCCATTGTATAGTTCACACCTTAATTCCTTCTGATGAGTTCGAAAATATGCCAAACGTGAAGATTCAATCATGGTGTATCCATCCACTAAAAACTGCTGAAACAGTCGACGTGAGGACATTATATAAGGGGACTCACTTGCTCTCTCCTGTAATCTAAAGCAAAAGAACTCTTTTTGTGAGACAGTTTTTCTTCCTTTCGATGTAGATGCCGCAGCACGTGACAATGGCACATCTTCTCTATATCCGTCTTGACCGTATGGAAATAACAGTGGATATTGAAGACCAAGGTATGCTGGGTTAAGTTCATTTATTCGCTTTAGTTTACCAGACCTTTTTTCCAAGATTATTTCTCTTTCAGCTCGAGATGCATCAATATCACCTTCAATAATTGCATCAACTTCGTTGACTTCCGGCTCGTTGTAAACCCTTCCATTGCTGTGCCTTGTGCCAATCAGTTTCAGTTTGAAATCTACCACATCAGAATTATCAAATCGATCTCTAGCCATTCTGAATGACTTAACGTGAACATTATGTTGATCAAGCATGTTCTGTAGTTCACGAACTGTCTCGGGATTTAACTTCTTATCTGCTTGCTTTCCCCTTTGAGATGTAAATAATAATAAGTGATTCAATCTCAAGAATAACATTAAAATTCAATAAAAAAAAATAGTGAATTAGTGTCGAGCAATAATAGAGTAATGAATGCAAACAATTATATTATAATAAGAAAAATAAAATTAAGAATAGTGTTTTTAAAGAAATTACCTGACAGATCGGATCCTGTTAGTCATCTCGTTCCCTGTATCAGCTATATATATCTGTGCGAATTTTGGTTGATTTCCTTCTAATGGTAGTAAACTACCAATGAGGTGATGGTTCTGACCATTCAACCTAAATATCGGCGGTGATGTACCGACATTAATGTCCCAATCAATCTTTCCTCCCATCGATGTAAATGAAAACATACTATTGTATGAACGTATGTTTTCGACAAAATTTTTGCTTCTTTCATTAGCTCCGAATAGTAAATCATGAAGTTCCTTTGGGGGTGATCTCATAAACGGCAAGACAACGTTTTTTTGATTACAACATAGTGTAAATTTTGGGACCTTTGGACGGTAGTGTTTCTCTACACGCTCGGAATACCAAAATATTGCTCCACAATGTTGACAGGCATATGTAGGATCACCAATATCATCATATTCTATAACCACATATCCGAATATATAAATTTAAAACGAACATTGAGAACGAAATACAAAAAACGGAGTAACAGTTAATGAAATCATACCTAATATAAAACCAAAATATGGATAGTAATAGCATTAAGTAGTAATAAGAAAATTTATTTAAATAATAGGATTAAAGTTGCATAGTGAAAGAATGATAAATATACAAATATAAATTTATACCTGGAGTTGAGAAGTCGAGGCATTCAACATCATCATCTGATAGCAATAAATTTTATTATTGTTAATACTAATTCAACATCATCATTTGATAGCAATAAATTATTATTATTATTATTATTAATATAGTTATTACTATTTCTATTATTCTTCTATGAAAAGAAGGAATTACGCTAAAATTGCAATTATAACCATTCAAACTTTTAATTTAATTAAAATGCTTCACACATAAATAAATGGAATAAATAGTACTGGTATATACATACAATATAGAATATATAACCCTGAAATTATGAATGAGTGTATACCTGGAGAGGATAGATCGTCACATTGAACTTCATTATCTAAGAGCAATATAATGATTTAATTGTGATTAAATGCATTTCATTATGAATATAGTAAAATGGTAAAAAAAACCATCAATAATAAATCACGTACCATTGGAGTTATCATCAGAAGCATTTATATCATTTGGCACAGCCTCAGGAGCATCACAATGTGTACCTTATATAAGTATTGAAGTAATATTTTAGTATTTTCTACACTATCAATATATCAAAATGGGAAAAGCATCAATAATTAATGACATACCATCAGACTTATCCTGGGAAGCATTTACATCATTCGGCACTGTCCCATTGGTATCACGATGTGTACCTTATATATGTATTGAAGTAATATTATAATATTAAATTTTAAATATGAATATATCAAAATGAGGAGAAAACATCAATAATAATAAATCACATACCATCAGTGTTATCATGAGAAACATTTATATCATTCGGCACAATCTCAAGAGCATCACAATGTGTACCTTATATAAGTATTGAAGTAATATTGTAATATTTCCTACACTATCAACATATAAAAATAGGAAAAAAACATCAATAATTATTCACATACCATTAGACTTATCCTGAGAAGCATTTACATCATTCGGCACAGTCTCAGGAGCATCACAATGTGTACCTTATATAAATATTGAAGTAATATTATAACATTAATTTTTGCATATGAATATATCAAAATGGCAAAACAAATATCAATAATAAATCACATACCATCAGAGTTATCATGAGAAGCATTTACATCATTTGTCATAGTCTCAGGAGCATCACAATGTGCGCCTTATATAAGTATTAAAGTAATGTTGTAATTTGTTCTGATCTACAGAGTCAATATTGAAATATAATCAAAGAAATTGATGAGATATGTGAAAAAATATGTACATACCAGAATGAACAATATCCATGAGACATTGTAGTGCGAAGCATTGACATCTTCATTGTCACAGCGAAAATCATTTAGAAAATTGTTGCAACCATAACGTCCAGACAGCACGTATGAAACTGAGCGAGCGGTGGGAGAAACTATAAGAATAAGTAAATAAGTAAATTGTTAGTTCTATATTAGTACTATAATATTGCTTTTGGTGATTTGAAACATAATCACATTACATATTTATACCATTTGTGACATCAGACAGCGGGTTCCTAGAAGTCTCTCTCAATGGATTAAAAGATTTTGCTCGCTTCAGAGTGCCAAATTCATTGTCTCTAGCAATAGGTAATTGTGAGCAATTTGATATTTCACAAACTCTTGCTCTCTTGCCCGGGACATTGACAAAATCATTCATGCACTGGGTTGTATTTTCAGCATCATCTATGGGTTCAACCCTTGATGAATCACGTGATGGATGCAGCTTTCCACCAGACAGTATTGTTGATTTTGTCAATTTCTTCATTGTGGGCTATGATTAATAAAAAACAACAAAATAATAATGATGATAATAACAACAACAATAATCATAATAATAATAATAATAATTTTGTGAGTAATAATAATAATAATACCAATAATAATAATAGTAGTAGTAGTAGTAGTGATAATAATAATAATAATAATAATATTAATAATAATAATAATAATAAAACAACTTATAACAGATAATGAATTCTAGTGCAGATGAATACGCTACCCGCCATCAAAAGTGATTCTCTTCACATGATACATAAGCATGAAATTTGCTGCCTTTGGAAGCTAATGTGTTCACCTTGTGTGTACTTCAGGATGATTTCAATGAACCCACGTACATCAATTATGTTGCCGCTCACTTTTCTAAAATTTCATGTATTTCTGGGCCGTATGGGGTTTAGTTTTGTTAGATTCAATCAATTGCATTTTACTTAAATGTTTGAGTGGATAAAATCAAAGACTCTTCATATTAGAATGAATTTATTAACCCAAGTAGGTGTGTAAGACTATGTTCTACCATGTATACAATTGAAATAGTAGTACCGCATGACTAAGTTCTTCATTCACAGCTATCATACATAATAATAATAACAACATTTATAATAACAGTAGTAACAGGCCTAATAAGATAATCAAAATAATTATTAAAAGAAAAAGAAAGTCCAAAAATTATCATTGGACGTCTACAATTGTGCAATTGCAATTTCTTATATTAATACAATTTTAAATGAGTATCTCTATTTTGGTTTCATTGAATATAAAAAATACCCGGCTGGTAGGTCTAGCTTATGATGAAATGTGTATTAAGAACATCTTGATTTGTACAATTAATCATGAACATGGAACTTATACTACTCATTGTGTGATAAGGTATGGAATGATCTATTAATTAACGGTTCTCAGAACATATAGAGCAGTTTTGCACTAAAAATTTAATCATTTAACTAATAGAAAATTGCGATCAAATTATAAAGACATTTAAAACTTAGGGAATGATTTATTAGACTTAAATATTAAAGATTCGACAAAAGGAATTTGTACCTGACATTCAGACTTGGATACTCATAATGAAAACTGTGAACAAACAAATGGTTGAGCAATTCAGAAGGAATTAACTGGGCCTTCCTATAGAGCATTACGAAGCATCTTCACACAAACTATCCATGATGGAAGAAGCTAATAAACTGGAGATGTACATTGCAGCCCGCTAGCTACGTTGGCAGTGTAAAAATATCATGGCAT